ATTTGTTCTGGTGTATGACCGATCAAGTGCTTCTACTACAGTAGATGAAACAAGGTTAGATCACTTTGCCAGGAAGCAGAGGTCATACAAATTAATCCCACCAACACAAGGAGCACTAAAGAAACATGCCAAATGTGCTGCCTTCCAAGCAGGACATATCTGGAGGCAGTCCGTCGTTCGTGATCCAGAGCTTCCGTGTGGGGATGGTTGAAAGACGGTAACAAATGGAAAGTTGCCTGGACTTCCTTGGAACCAATTTCTAAAAGCTGTCGTGAATTGACAAAGTGCGGATGTAAGATAAAATGTGGGGGAGGACCATGCAAGTGCTCAAAGGTTGGAACAGGCTGTACTCTGCTTTGCAGTTGCCCATGTGAGATTTAGTAAACAACAACGAATGAACTTCGGGCTGGACTTTTGTCGCCAGTTCTTGGAAGGTTAGCCTATTGAAATTCAAATGCAGAGAGTTGTAAGGATATATATGACCTGTAGATATTTTCCCAGGTATGGACAATTTCCATGCTGGGTATTAGCACAGAAAGTAATTTTGACATTGAATTGGACATTTCATCAGGATTGTAAATGTCGACTTTAAATCATTTCATGTAATTATCCACCGTAGGGTATGGGCGCTATATCATGCCAAATCAATTGAAACAGTGCAATCATTGAGTTCTCTCTCAGATTTAGAATTGATACAGCAATAAATAAAAAATATTTCATCAAATTCAACTAATTTAATGATTTCAGATAAAAATCATAAAACAGAGGCCTGTTTGGCAGCCACCTTGAAAAAGTGGCCACCATATTGTTTTTTTTTGTGGCTAGCATTTTCACCTGAATGAGTGGCCTACAAGGAACACTCATGCCAAATTTCATGTTTATATCACAATTTGCACTATAGTTTTTGAGCAAAACCATAAAACAGAGGCCCGTTTGGCAGCCAACTTGAAAAATGGCCGCCATGTTGAATTTTTTTTTTGTGGCTAGCACTTTTTTCTGAATAAGTGACCTATCAGGAACATTCATGCTAAATTTCATGCTTACCTCACAATTTGCATGATTCTACCCAAAATTTATATTTTTCTGCTCCACTATATAAGGTTTTATTAAATTATTTCATGATAAAATTATTTTTTAAAGATTTAAAAAAAAAATTTTTCAGAAATTTAAAAATTTCTGTCATTGAATTAAAATATACAAATACAAATGTACAACACATACAATTTGTATGAAATTCGAATGGACATCTGTGTTTTGGGGGCTAATTTTACCTTTGTCTTGAGACAACCCTTCGGTAACAAGAAAAAGAGTGTAAACCAAAATGTGTATTGATTTGAAGTCATTTTTTATGATTCCTTCTGTATTTAAACTGAATATATTTTCTAATAAATGTAATATTTTAAATGGACAAACAATTTAGATTTGAAATTTGAAGATCTTCCAGTGGGGATCCGACAGGTACCAAACTCGTATATATATGAAATTTAAACTGTCAGACTAGAAAAACAAAAACTATGACTGTTACTTAATTTAAAACAGAACAGAACTACCTGATATACTATAAGAGAAATGCAAATATCCACATCTACAAGTATATGATTAAGGGTGGGGTGGGGGGTTGCTGAAAATTTATTTATAAATGAAAACAAATAATTTAAACAGAAAATTCTCATATTTTTGCAACAAATTAGCTATATTATTATTATTATGATGATGATGATAATGGCTTATGGCCATATCACAGGAAACACTGGTTCCTGTACAATCATCAAAGTTAAGCAACATCAAGACTGGTCAGTACTTAGATGGGTAACCAATTTACAATACCAGGTGCCATAAGTGTGGATACACAGGTTATCTTGACTTGATTTGACTGAGCCATGTCACCCAAAATGGCACACCAATCACGATTCCATCGTCGAAGACCAACTACTTGTGGACTCGATAGTACTGCTAGGTCATCCTTGATTGTGCTAGCCCACGTCCTCAGCTGCCCACCAACATGTTTTCGCCAGCCAGGAAGAGAAGGAGGGAGAAGTACATGAGCTCTCCCTCCGGGCGTCGAGCTGCGTGCCCTAACCATTGAAGACGATGCCGGAGCAGGACGGGTGGGAGAGGACGGAGACTCGGCGATGACGTAGAGTGGCTGTGGGCACACGATCAATCCGGTGGCATCGTAGAATGCAGTGAAGGCAATCGTTGTTGAACACTTCAAGCCTTCATAGGTCAACATGTTTCGCAGCCATAGTGAAGGATAGTCTGAACAATAGCCTGATAGATGTGCCCCTTCATAGCCGTGGAAATCTCCCATCGCCCCCATAGTGACCGCTCTAGATGCATGAATGTGGACCTTGCAGCTCCTATACGGCGTTCAACCTCAGCAGCAGCCTGCCTGGATGGCATAATGGTTGAACCAAGATAGACGAAAGAATGCATGTCCTCCAGATTGACACCGTCCAGCATCAATGACTGCCAGTTGACTGGATCAACCAGGGACAGCATAACTTTAGTCTTTGAGGCATTGATGGTCATACCCACATCCTGTGCTGCAGCTTGCAAATGGTTGAGCGCAGCTTGCATATTGTCACAGTTCGATCCGACCAAGACAATGTTGTCCACATAGGCCAGATCAGACACCCTGACATTCCGACCAACCGCAACTCCAGCGTAGTCCCGAAGTTGAATAGGGTAGGGGATAAGGCTCACCCTTGCCGCACACCAGTCTTCACTTCAAAGTCTCCGACTCCTCACCATAAGTATGAACACGGGCTCGCGTTAACCAGCAGTAGCCCTTGATGAGACAAAAGAGTTTAGCAGGCATGCCATCGGCCTCCATGATACGCCAGAGTGAACCTCTATCAACAAAGTCGAAAGCAGCCACAAAGTTGATGAAGCAGAGGACTGTTGGTTGCTGGTATGCCCAACGTTGTTTGAGGGTGCGCCGCAGGCTGAAGATCTGAAGATCAAAGCCATTCATGTGCCCTTTTGGTGATGACATTTTCCACATTGCAGCCTCTTTTTCACAAATGCAACATCACAAACCTGTTGCTACTCTATATCACTATTTCCATGGCAAATGTTCAGAACATGAACCTTATTTTCACCATTTCAAACCTTCAGTGCTAAGACCTGCTATACAGTATCCACAGAGTTAAACCACCCCCACTTCCCCCATATTCTATTTTTTTTTTTTTTAAAACAGAGTTCATCCCCAAGCAAGGTAGTAAAGCCACTAAGATACAAGGAATTACTGTGTGTGTGGAAGAATTAGAAAACAGAATCATTAATAATGAAAGAGAACAAGAGAACCAGGAGGACAGTCAATAGTGGGTGCCATTGCATTTAAATTTTTGAAAATTAAAGTTAACTGTAAAGGATGGAGCTGATAGGGAGTTCCTCAAGTGAGAAGTGGGAGGAAAACTGTTTGCTTAGAACTTACAGTTACCTCCAGCCAACTCAACTGCAAATCAATGAAATGCCATCACCAGTCAGTAACCCTCTATCTTGATTGGCCTTGTATTGAGTGAACATAAAAAAACTTGGAAAGTCATTATTTACCATTGTATAGCAGATTTTTAAGAATTTTGAGAAACTCTCAAAAGGTGAATTAAAAGTTTTGCCTCATGGCCAAAGGAAACATTCTATCTTCAAACCTTTCAATGAAACAAACTCCCAGGATAAACCAATCATATTTTACTATACTTAACCACTTAGGGGATTTATTTTGCCAAAAATTGATTCAATTTGGAACCAATTTCTTTTATTTCAAGCAGGTAATATGCCCATACAGAAAAAAAAATATCTTTTTGCCTTTTCATGAATTTAATGATGAAAAATCAGAGAAAATAACACACTAAGTCTTCTCCCAAAATATTTCATCCACAATTCCTTGAATGTGAAAAAACTCATAATTCTTTGAGGGATACATTTTTGCAATTCATATCAGTTTGAGTGGAAATTTGTTGGTTTCTTCATAGATATGACCAATGAATTTCCCATCAAGGTAAAAAAGAAAAAAGCTAAGAGCATGATCACTAACATCAGGTTTTAGCAAGTATTTGTATCTATGGGTTAAATAATAGGGAAGATTGTTCTCTTTAGCTTTGGTAGGGCAACCAGTAGGCCAACAACTGCATTCAAAACTGTTTTACCTGGTGAAGTGCATATTATGCAGCTAACGAAAGGATTGTCGAGTTCACAGTGACTGTCATCCTGACTGTGGTCATCCTAGTCTAGTTCAAGTGCCAAATTTGTTTCTTCACAGGATACAATCTAAAATTTCTTCTTAAAAAATTTATAGGAATAAAAATCTGTCATGAAGGAAAGAGTGGAGAGGCAGGTACATAATTAGTGGGTTCACAATTCATTTTGCACCATTGCCTGGTATTGAGAATGGATATCACCATCTTCTTTGGCCAACTGAATCATTACCTGATTGTGAATCATCAGTCATCTCATAAAACAAAATTACCGATTCATTGTCAGCTAAAGTCATTTCCCATTTTTTCAGCCATTACAACTCAGCAGTATTTCACTAAGAATAAATTACAATGAACATAAAAAAAAAATTATTTACACTATTTACATTTGAATTATTGTCCTCATCTTTGTTGTTGTTATCACAATGTTTCGGCTGTTTCCTCCAGCTATCCTCAGATGTATATCTGGGTAACATACAGGGAACATTGTACTGAACCCTTTATTTAATTTATGGGAGTAGACTGTTCTCATTCCATTGACGATGTCTCGGGATATCTTATCTTGTCTTGTCCTGTCCTTATTTTTAATACTGCTCAGTTCTAACTCCTCCTCACAGAAATTCAAACAGAAAACAAAACTAGTCTCTCAATTGCAACAACATTCATTAAAAAAAAAAAAAAAATCCCCAACCCAAAATGATTTCCTTCTATTTCATCAAATATAATTGTTGCATTGATAACAAGTCAGCAGACTAGTAAATATAGGAATATAAAAAGAAATTTTAAGTGTTTTCTCTATACCTTGCAATGAGAACAATGACACGAAGTGGGTCCTTAGCAATTGTGAAGATGAACATTGCAAATGGAGGCCCAAAAGCAATGAAACTGCAACCAAAAAATTCCATCATCGTCATTTTGGCGAGAGAAGTGATGAGAATACAACAACAGCAGAAGAAATGTCAGCTGACCTGTGAAAAGACAATAATTGTAACATTTTAGAAATCATACAAAAATTTCAGCTAACATGTTCAGATATTGATTAATGTTCCTATTATTTCTATCCACTAGATAATTTTAATGTCTACCTTTCTTTCTTTTTTTTTAAATTCCCTTAAAATTATTTTGTTCTGTCTAAACTAATGTGTGACTAAAGTCCATGGTTTTCATCAATGCTATCTTGTCTTTTGGAAATCCCTGTTCTATTGTTGGCTGACACACACCAAGAAAAAAAAAAACAAAAAAAAGAAATTGTTGGCATTGGAGGTTTTAAGTGTCATGCAACCAGTTTGTAGACTTCAATGCATTTATACAAATATGTGAAAAAACAGATCATTAAGTTTATAAATGAAAAAAAGAATAGGGGTCCACAAGTTAAAAAAACCCAAAAAACAAATTGTGTATTTTATGTAATTTTTTTAATTGAATTGTTACATGACAATACCACAAATGTTTTCAAAAATGTATTTTCACCATAAATTTGGATCAAAACTTTAAATAAAGTTAAACCCATTTATAGACAAAACATTGTCCACATAATTAAAAGGAGTTATATGGAATCCAACAATAATTTTTTTGGTTACTTTTAAATTGAACGAAAATTCTGTTTGCATCTCAGCATTCTATAGATTCATCGACTTGTTTTTTTTTTAAAATTTCATCAAACCTTTAAGGATGAAACATATTTTGGAATGTAAAAATAATTTTATTTTTTTTGTGAGGGAATATTGCATTAACAATTTTGGGGAGATAATGATTGATTATTCCAACTATTTAACCCATAGCTGAGAGGGGAAGAAATGATCTATACCTTTCCCAAAGATATTTGCATGTAAGTGAATATAACGAACTCAACCAGAATTCAAACTGCTCATCAAATTTTAATTGATCTGTTATCCATTACCCCACACACTCACTAACACACTACAGGAAAAAAAAAAACTCCATTTTTCAAAAAATTAGGCCCAAATATTGACATCAAAGTCATAGTTTTGATATAATTTCTAAATTTATAAAAAACTGGTGCTTATTCTGCAAGAAGTTAGATCATATTAGCATTAGTTATATATATATATATATATATATATATATATATATATATATATGTGTGTGTGTGTGTGCGCTAAATCCAAATGTTTGGTCCAAATAGGCTCTATACTGGATATTCCAGACAGCATTTTTTTTTTTTTTTTTTTTTTTAAAAACAAGAATATGATAAATTGTCCACAAATGGAGAAATTATGATGTTTTGTCAGTTTGGACTCAATTTCATGAACAAGAATGTCATCTGACCAAAATATCACACCTCACTGATGGAGTTATGGGCTTTAGACAACATTATTAGTGTCAGAGATACAGGATAATTTTATTGTCCTAAATTGGACTACAGTTAAAAGCCAGTTGTCTTTGATTTGAGAAGACTTGTGATTTTTATAATTTTTTTTTTTTTAGTATTAGATCTTCCAAATACCACTGATTTTTATCATTAACGTTCTTAATATGAGGTTATTTTCTCAGACCTTAGTACTTTTGCTTCTCTCATTTATGTCTATTATAATTTTTAGCACTAAATAGACTGGTCCATTCATTTAAAAAAAAAAAAAAAAAAAAAGAAAGAAAAACAAAGGAAACATTTTCCAAATAATTTTTATAGATTAGCATGCTTTACTCAAGTGCAAGTCACAACATCTGTCAAAACTCAAAATCAAAAAAATATTGATTTTTTTTTTATTGATTTGTAGTGGGGGGGGAGACTTGTTTCACTGTTTGTAATATTGTGTTAATGTCAGATCAATCCCTGACTTTTACAGAGATAACTTCATTATATTTTTTTTTATTTTATTTACAAATATCCTACCTTGAAAATGTGATTATGACATTGATATCTGCATATTTTTGTAATTTATGTAAATTTAAGAAAATAAAAAAATGTTGCACTAGTTTAAAAATATATGTATTTGTTCTTTAATGACAAAAATCTTTTTGTAAAAAAACAAAAACAAAAAAAACAAAACAAAAAACAAAAACATTTGCTTGTTTAAAAAATATTTTCTAATTAGAAGAAAATATTTTTTTAAATAAGCGAATGTTTGGCAAAATAGATTTTTTTTAAAAAACAAATACATTTTTATATTTTATTATAAAAATAAAACATCCATTTGTTCTTTATTGAAAAGAAATATTTTTGTATAATTTCAAAAATGTTTGTTTTCCTATACAGAACGTACGCTAAGCATAGTTTCAAACTTGACATTTGTAAAGTTAAACTTTAGTTAATTTAATACTCTGAAAAAAAAAAAAAAAAAAAATATTAGGAGTGGCTTTTGTAAGTCTGACACAAACAACAAAAATGTTTCAAGCTGGAGAGTATCTTTCTCTTTGGTCAAACATGATACAAAAAAAGATTTTTCAGTTACTTTTTTTTTCTCAACATCAACAATAATTTATTTACTTTTTTTTGTATTTTTAGTCACACGATTTCACGCTGAGAAATAATTGTTACAAGACAAAAATAACTTAAGAGCGGACTTTTTGGATTCGAAAAAAAAAAAAAAAAAAATTGCACCAGAAAATAGCGACTAAAAATGCAAATTAAATTATAAATTCTTGTTAATTATAATTTAACAACTTAGTATAAGACCCACGAAAAAATATATGGAATTTGAAGCCAATCACTCAGGAGCAAAGTTCAAAAGGTCCTTGTTCAGACTTAGGAACAATTTCCCTTCATGTCAATTAGGATGGGAATAATTCTTGGCTAATTGTACTTTGGTTTCGTAGATTCAATAAAGATTTTTTGTTTTTAGACTGAACATTACATATATATATATATATATAAAACCCCAATTAAGAAATAAGATAAAGAAAATCTAAGGGAGTTAATTCAGCATGTGGAATGCGAAAACAGTTTCGGACGTTAAAATCGACGATAACTAAACTAATACTTTCATTTTATGGATTTTTAAAAAAAAAATTGTTTTTATTACATTTGATTGTATTTTATTGCTGGAACTGACCAAGAACGATCCGTCACAAATTAACACTGATAATTTGGATGGGATAAGACTAAGAGTAAGACACAAAAATATATCGCTTCTAAAAAAGAACTAAATTCAAAATGATACTTTTTTTTTTACTTGTTGATATATTTTGAAGAAACCAAAAATTATGATATATCAGTTCTGTAATTCTAAACTGAATTTTAGGACAAAAAAAAACAAAAAAAAAAAAAACATGGCATAAAGAAAGTAAAAACAAAAAACTTGTCTGTGTAACTAACAGTAATTAATTTCTAACCGTAAAAAACTAAATTTGTACAGACAAGATTTACCTACAAAAGACAATGTACGAATTTCAAAATTATTTTTAGTCGATTTATTAAATTTAAATACAAAAAAAAGAAAATATTTTTTAAAAATTCATAATTTCATTAAATAAAACAAAAGCAAATGCAAAAATGAATGAAAATAAATTAAAAAATAAAAATGTTCGCTAATTGCTTTTATATATATATATATATATATATATATATAAGCAAAAAGAGGATGAAAAATAGAAACCGAGTAGAAATATTCAAAACAATCCTATTAAAAAAATTTCAGGAAGTTAAAAAAAAAAAAACAATCAACATTGTTAGTCATAAGAAGAGCTACACGCCTAAAAAATCATGCTTTTAACAGGCCAATATGGACGTATTATATTCCTAATTGTTAGTTTAACCTCTGCAGCTGAATAAATTACCTTAAAGATATGTAAAAGATATTGTTTACCTGACAAAAGTTGGATATAATTTTTAAAAAATGCTCCCAAAGCTGTCAAAATCCTTTAAACCACGCGGAAGAAACAATATCGTTTCCGGTTAAAATCGGAAATAGCTATTATTTGTCGTAAAAATAAACTTAACAAATACGAAATAAAGAATTAATAAACAAATATCTTTTCGCTTTTAATATTATCAATAAATTATTTGTGCCTTAATTTTTTTTAAATTACAGAAATGTTATTCACGCAGGAAGTGGACAACAATCATTCTGCATCAAGATTAACTTTGAAGTATGGATGACCGTAAACATCAAAAATGTTTGCAAGATGCTCAAAATTTCTATTTTCAATAAGTGTACAATTTCTGATAAGATCTACATAAAAATAACCTAATTACTATTAAAATATGCAATATTAATAATCCGTAAATAGACTACACAATAAAATGAAGTAAATAACAAAACAGTTTTCATATAATATTTTTCGTTTAATTCATTAAAACAACAACAACAACAACAACAAAAATAATTATTAAATTCCAATTCGAAACAGCGGCATTTATTCTCCTCTCGAATTAACCATAATTTTTATAGAAGTTTAATAAACATGAAACAACATAATAATGTCGCGGAGAAAATTATTTGAAAAATAACTGCCGGACGGTGTGTTGGTGGCGAGGTGAGGGCTGAAGGAAATCATTTACACAAGAGTACACGTGAAAAAAAGAAGGAATTGTTTACGCATGGATCGCCACAGTCATGTCGATATGGACACAGGCGGGATGTGGAGAGTCTGTCACTGCTCTATCGCTACTTCCGTGGAAAGTGCTCGGACGAACTACAATCCTCAGTTCCCCCAGGTCTAATCTTCACGGCTAGGACCCGCCATGCCACTTACATAGTAGCAAACCACTTACATTCCCTCCGCGAGATGTTCCATTCAAACGGCTTCGTCCCGCGAATCGCTGCTCTGTGGAACAGACTTCCAAGAGGAAGTTTCCCCGATCACTACAATGTTCTTAACCAGTTCAAGTCTAGTGTTAACCATTTTCTTCCCCTCGTATCTGTATAAGTTACCCTTTAACGTTATCCTCTACTTCGAGTGGACTGCGGGCCTTGTACAGGGTGAACCTTACCGTAAAAAAAATTAAATTCATAAAATAAGCGTGCCGCTTCAAGTAAACGTTCCGCCGGGAATTTTTGTTTTATACAATAGTTCAAGCAATACAAGGCTTTAGAACCACTGTAGGTAGAGAGTCACTTTTAAAATGGTTATGACGAATAAAGTGTGATAAGAGTGAAAGAGGACGTTATAGGAAGTGAAGATTATGAGGATAAGAAGGATAGCTAATTGTAGTAATGAGAGTGATTCGAATGCGTGCAAGTAACATGGCGCTTCCTTGCTGTAAAGGTCTGTGGGAATAAAATAAAGATACAAAATAAAATAAACATTAAAATCTCCCAGGAGTCCTCTGACAGGAAAGACAATTTACGCATGTGCAAAAAAAAAAAAAAAGAGATTTCCTGGCGCCAAAGATAAACTAGAAGAATCTGTCTCTTTCTCGGTTGGACCTTTGACTGGTGAACGTGCCAACTGTTCGGGAAGAAATTCCCCAACAAGAGCTCGTTGGAATCCAGAAGAAGCTAATAAAATCAGTGTCCTAAACTGTCCCTGTAGTGTCTCTGTATCCTTCCGTCTTTTCTTTGTCAATTTATTTCAGCGACGAAGGCATTCAACAAGTTTTTGGATGTTTAGGTGAAAGAATCAACCCAGCACTAATAGCCATAACATCAACAATGGTGACGCCGACGTGACATCTACACTCAAGTGTTCGGGGACGAAAAAAAAAAAGAAAAAAAATTTAACCTTCCTACACTGAGTACACATTAACTGTCGCAATCTTTTAACCCCTTGTGACTTTGCTTGCTTCCCCACTACCAATCCTTGGCTTACCATCCTTCCACCACCACAACAGGTCAAGTTGGCTACTGTAGCCATACACGTGCTAAAAAAACTAAAAAAAAAAAAAAAAAAAGAAAAAATACGTGAGTAACTGCTTTCATTGCTTTCATGCTTTTATCACACACACACAAAAATTCTTTATTAACACAAATACATTTCGTCCAGCAGAGTTTTGTTTTATCGTCTTGCTTTGTCTTTTATCTTCCTTCTTGTTGCCTTATCGTAAGTTACTAAAATGGAAGAAAACGCAGCAGCTATATCAGTCAAAATCCCAGTCTTTATGCACACGGCAGCAGTTGTGAGGCACAATTTGAACTGCGACACATAACAAGTGAAGAAACCAAGTTTTATCATGTTTTGTCTGTTCTACCACCAGAATTGATATCCAGCTTACCGTCCGCTGTTATAGCGTCTAAAAAATATTCAGAATTAAAAGACGCAGTAATGGCCAGACACGAGAGGACAAAACCAGAGATGTTCGCTAAATTAATGGCTAATACTCAAATGACCTTCAGCTTATCTCCATGAGCTGATGTCGACAGCCAGCAGGATTGGTGTCGGAGATGAACTTGTTCGACATAAGTTCATTCAGGCACTACCTCCGGAAATAACACCCATGATAGCAGCAATAAAAAATGCCTCCTTGATGGAACTGGGTACACTGGCTGACGAAATAACACCATTTTTAAAACTCAGGATGATACAAGCCGCCACTATGCCACATACAAGCAGACACTCCAGATCTACTGCCTCCACCAGCGCCACGCCTAGAACGACCTATAGCTCTGGACCATTCTATGAGAACCAGAGGCCTCGAGTATGTCGTGGACATTTCTATTATGCAGAAAAGTCGAGGGCGTGCAAACCATGGTGTAGGTGGCCAAACAAGTCCGGCTGTCATATAATGCCCACTTCGAGACCATCTTCACCCGCCAGAAACCCTACCACCCAAGCCTCGGAAAACTGATAATGCGAATTGCATCAGCAACCGGCAATTCGCAACTATTTGAGGTTGCTACCAAAATTAACATAAATAAGATCAATTTTGTGATAGACACAGGTGCCTCTATAACAATCTTACCACAGAGAATGGCACTCGGTCTGAACTTAAACCCTACACCTGTAACACTATCAGCAGCAAATGGGAATAACATTAAATGCTTTGGCGAAACAATAGTGGATATTGGGATTCCGGGCCTACGCCGTTCATACACATGGACCGTAGTAGTAGCGGATACCGTCAACCCCCTCTTAGGAGCAGATTTTCTGCGCCACTATGGACTAATCTTAGACTGCAAAAAGGGCAGGCTCATTGATGAGGAAACCCACCGATATACACAAGGAGGACGAGTCACCGCACAGATTCAGTGTATAACTGTGAATAACCACAATAACGTACAAAGAAGTGCAGTCCCTCCTCCAAGAATTTCCAAAACTAACCAATCCACGTACAGGACAGCCTTCAGTGTCTAACACGAAAGTAACACACGTCATAGACACTGGAGATAGCACCCCTACTCATTGCCAAGGTCCGACAACTCTCAGAAGAAAAATATAAATCAGCTAAACAGGAGTTCGCGGCACTCTTACAAGCTGGAATTATTAAACCGTCAAAGTCCCCCTGGTCTTCGCCACTACATCTAGTTCCCAAGTCAACCCCAGGAAAATGGCGAGTATGTGGCGATTTTAGACATTTGAACCAGTTGACAAAACCAGACAGATATCCAATACCAAATATTAACAGCCTCGGATCTAAACTCTTCAAGAAAACTGTATTTTCGAAAATTGATCTCCTACAGGCCTATCACCAGATTCCCATGAATAAGGCAGACATAGAAAAATCGGCCGTGATAACACCATTTGGTCTTTTTGAATACCTATTCATGCCATTTGGTCTACGAAACAGCAGTTCTACATTCCAGAGATTTATGGACAACATATTTATGGATGCAGATTGTGTTTTCACATATATCGACGATATACTTGTTTTCTCCGAATCTAAGGAACAACACCACAAAGATCTCAAGAAAGTCCTTTCGATTCTCGAAGGAAACAATCTTCAAATTTCTGTTGAGAAATGTCAGTTCTACAAAGACTCTATTGACTTCTTAGGCTATAATGTAAGCATGAAAGGATTAAAGCCAACAACACAGAAAGTCGAAGACATCAAAGATTTTCCAGAACCCACAGACTCCAAATCTCTGCGTCGATTCCTGGGTATGGTAAACTTTTACAGGAAATTAATCCCTCAAGCCTCAGATGTCTCTCTGCCACTAACTGAAGCCATCAAACACAATCCAACGGAAAAAGTATTAAAACTGAGCCCGACTGAAGGTGAGTCATTCGCTGCTATAAAAGACATTCTTGCCAAAGTATCTGCTTTGACGCACCCTGATCCGGATGCCACGCAATACCATTTAGTCACGGATAGCTCCAACCATGCAGTGGGTGCAGCGTTACATCAGATAATAAATGGTGATCCAGTCCCCATTGGCTTTTATTAAAAAAAACTGTCTGAAAACCAGAGGAAATATTCCACCTTCGACAGGGAACTTTTGGCAGCATATCAGGCGGTCTTGCACTTCAAACCACAAATTGAAGGCAGAAATGTCACTTTATTTTCAGACCACAAACCACTTTCCCTGGCGTTCAGAAAGAAAACACCGATGAAATCAGACAAGCAACAAAGATATTTATCAATTATGACAGAGTATGTCACAGATGTACAGTATATAAGAGGAGATGAAAATATCGTTGCTGATTGTCTATCTCGACCCACATATTCGGTAACCGTAGACTCCTGTGATCTACCAGCTATCAGTGAATCACAAAGAGAGGATGAGGAAATCGACACATACAGGAGCCGACTTAAAGCCTTTGAGCTGCAAGGGTCATCTGTCTGGTGCGACCTATCAACATCTACTCCCAGACTATACATACCTGAACCACTTCGTAGGAGAATCTTCGACATGTTCCATGACATCTCTCATCCAGGACCCACGCCAACAACAAAACTGATTAAAGCTAGGTACTTCTGGCCAGAAATGGAGAAAAACATACGATCTTGGGTCAAGAGCTGTCTACGATGCCAACAGTCCAAGATTTCCAGACACACTAGAACAGAAACCACACCTTTCTCTCTACCATCAGGAAGATTTGAAACCGTGCATATAGACATAATTGGTCCTCTGTTACCCACCACCACTTATGACGGAGTATACACATCTCCAGCTAGATATGTACTTACGTGCATTGATAGATCAACAAGATGGGTAGAAGCTACACCTCTACAAGACACCTCCACCACCACCATAGCATTAGCATTCCTGCATACATGGATTTCTCGCTTTGGAGTCCCATTACATGTCGTCACAGATAGGGGAAGTCAATTTGAAAGCGAACTGTTTAGGGACCAGTCTGCTATAATAGGCTTCCACAGGCTCCGTACAACGGCTTACCACCCTCAAACCAATGGAATAATCGAAAGGTTGCACCGTACTCTTAAAACAGCAATCATGACAAGAAAGCAGAGCTGGTTGGATGCATTGCCAATTATATTGCTTGGTATTAGGAATATGCCTAATGAGCAAGGTTTCTCCCCAGTTACTGCTGTCACAGGAACCCATTTATTACTTCCAAGATCAATAATCGACCAGGAGTATCCCGACTTGACCAAACATGACATAAAAAAAATTGCCAAAGAGATGCAAGAGTTGAATATAACCCTCCTTTCAGAAGGACAGCTATATACAACTCAAAAATCCTAAAGAACTAAAAACAGCAACACATGTATGGCTGCGAACTGACAGGATTAGGAAACCCCTGGAAGCTCCATATTCGGGACCATACAAAGTAATAAAAAAGGAAGAAAAATATTTTATCAGAGAGACATTGGCTGGTGATGAACAAACGGTTTCAATTGAGCGATTGAAGCCAGCAATATTCGCCAATGCCCCACAAAAGAATGAAAACAAAAAACACAGTCTAACAGACAACACGTCATCACCAACACCTGAAACGCAGCAAAACTCACCGCAGGAACCAATCGTCACCCGTTCGGGTAGACGTGTGCGGTTTGCAAGAAACAATGACCATTTCTACTACACATAAAATACACACATGCATCTTATAAAAGACTAACTTTGCCTTCAATGCATCCTTACTGTAGCTCCGCTACATCGGGTAGGGATGTGTTGTGGGAATAAAATAAAGATACAAAATAAAATAAAAATACAAAATTAAATAAAAGTACAAAATAAAATAAACATTAAAATCTCCCAGGAGTCCTCTGACAGGAAAGACAATTTACGCATGTGCAAAAAAAAAAAAAAAGAAAAAAAAAAGAGAGATTTCCTGGCGCCAAAGATAAACTAGAAGAACCTGTCTCTTTCTCGGTTGGACCTTTGACTGGTGAACACGTGCCAACTGTTCGGGAAGAAATTCCCCAACAAGAGCTCGTTGGAATCCAGAAGAAGCTAATAAAATCAGTGTCCTAAACTGTCCCTCTAGTGTCTCTGTATCCTTCCGTCTTTTCTTTGTCAATTTATTTCAGCGACGAAGGCATTCAACAAGTTTTTGGATGTTTAGGTGAAAGAATCAACCCAGCACTAATAGCCATAACATCCACAGGTCTGAACTGGTGGAACTAAAGAATGGATTATAAGTCTATATAAGTTGAATAACTGTGAAACAAGATACCGTATATTTCCTCGTATATGGCAATGTTAAAATCTTAAGAATTACCCACCAAAATAGGGGTTCGTCTAATACGACACTTACAAAAAGCTAACCTTAAATTTTACTGTGCGGCTTCGGGGTTAAAATGAACAGCTGATTTAGTCACATCAAGAAGATTAATGGAGGATGATAATGACGAAGAAACAGGCGGGTAATTTTAACAAAACAAGATAATGAATTTATTTGTATCGGTAGCACATTTCAGGAAAATAAACAAGAAATCTTTAGTGTCCGTAGTTTTAACGAATTGTCATGAAGCGGAAATGTTTATACAATGAATAGATTAAATGATCTGCCACAAAATAATATTCAAAAATGTTTAAATAAAAGGTAAGTGAGTTTGTTGCTCACAGAAGGGACATAAAGTTGCATACATTCAAAACGAGATGATAAAAGATACGTAGCTTTCTTGGATTGTTGAGAGAAAATGCTTTGAAGTACTACGTGCTTGGTTAAAAGCTGATAATAGAATTGGTGAGTAATTTGAAACTGGTAAGAACTTGGACGCTGGTCGGTGATCGCGAGGAACTAAAATAAAACTTTTCACATGACTTCAGACACTTTTCTCTTATTAATTTAATTTTTTTCCTCATTTTATATCAAAAAGAATTTCACATTGGCTCACTAATTTATTTTCTTTCTTTTTGGTTCAACGACTAATTTTTGTGAAGACAAGGTTTGCAATGGTCCAAAGAAAATTTCACATAGGCTCACGAATTCCTTTCCGTCTTTTTTCTTAGCTCAATCGAATTTGAAAGGAGTGGGTAAAGGGAGTTATTATTATTATTTCGCACTCACTACAAACTGAAGGAAATAATTTAATCGCACCAGAACTTGTACTGAGTACACACGAATACGCAAAAAGGGTTTTAGTTGTTATTAATATTAGATCTTTTCTACATTTTTAAGTGAGAAGGAGATATAACATTTACTATACATTTTTCTAAAATTCCAATCTCCATTATTTTTCTTATCTGTTTATATAACGTATGATCAAACATGTTTTAATCATTATAATAGTGACACAGCAAATTCTCCTGGTAAATAACAAACGTGAAAGAATAACCAGGATTATATTTTAGCGTAGGCTGCATTTGAACCTGGCTTTATTATTATTATTTTTATTATTATTATTTCCTATGATTTCTGTTGTATGAAGATTTCCTTCCGGGTCCCAACCAGAGACCTAAGGTGAGAAATGGCTTTATCACAAGATCACACATTTTACATAGATAAAGCTCTTCGTAATGTGTGAACTGTACTTGTGAGTACATTTTTTGTATGTCTTATGGTATGGGCTACCAGGAATCCCTTCAACAAGTATATCGGAACCTTTTCCAATCAATCTGAGGGCTCCAACTATAACTGGAATTATTGATATCATGTCACACTTAAATTTCCACTTCAAGATCCTTGTACTTTGATAGTTTTTTGAACATCTTCAAACATTATTATTATTATTATATTTATTATTATTATTATTTGTGGTATAATCTTGTCAGAGAGTAATTTCAAGAGTTTCATTATGAAGTTGTCTCCGGGGTCTATGAGTAAAAAGGGTACTGTATGAGTTATCTATGCACATTTTGGGACATGGAGTGAGTTTTGCAGATGAACTGTATAGTTCCGCACAAAGTAATCTTTTCTAGGTTTGAGATGCTGATGTATCCAAGGATTTTACACATTATTATTATTAGTAGTAGTAATAGTATTAGAGGTAGTAGTAACAGTAGTAATATAAAGATGCAAAGCGCGATTATCTCCCTTTGGTAAAGATGAATTCACGAGGATCATGTGACAGCTGGTGAGTGACGTCAGTTCATAGAATGACAAACGACAGTTGCTATTTAGCACGCATATAGGCAAGACGTGTCTGCCAACACCAGTTGCTATGTAGACAGCAGAAAAGCAAGATATGACTGTCAACCGTAGTTAGGAGAGCAAAGGAAACAACACAATCTCACCAGGTAAGGTACATAAAGCTCACCACCGGCCTACCCGTTTCCCTGCGGTTAATATTATAAGACCTTCTCGCGTTTATTCCCGTTCACACTGCTTGTTGTATTCGTACGTTAAAATTTCTCTACATTGGACAAATCAGTGACACGTATGTATGTATGTATATAATAGGATAAAAAATCTCTTTGAGAACAATGCATGTTTGTCAATACTTTCTTTCAGGTATTCTGTTCCGTATTAAGGTGTTAGTTTATCACGGATATACTAATGCCTATAATGGGGAAATTAAGACTGGGAATATTCTCCCTTACCTACCCCTCCCCATTATTGTTGTTGTTGTTCGCCGACTTTACCGTTGCTCACCAAAACTGACCTGGTTAACAGAAACCATTTCTTTGACTTAACAAATTATTTCCGGTGGTAGCGAAAAGAAAAAAGGTAAACACTGAATTTATCAATCTTTGACCAAAAATCTGTTTGTGCAAGTTTTTGAACTCAGTTCGAATATTACACTAATTCAAATAAAAAAAAGAACAGGGATTATCCGTGGTGAGGAATTAATACAATGTTCACTGAAACAATCGAACTATTATATGTATTATGTAAAAATATATTAGTAATTGTTTTACGATAGAAATAATTGAAATTCGGGATGAAAGCTGTAAGGGAATATGTCATTTTGTTGAGAAATATTTAATGATAGAAATAATGGATGCATTGGTATTTTCTCAAACAAGAGAGTTAGAATGAATATACAAACTTTTGGTAATATTAATGGCCCGCGACCTCATCCGTACATCCGTATCAGGTCGCGGGCGATTAATATTACCAAAAGTTTGTATAAAGAAGTCTAGCATAAAATCAGGCAGAGTATAGTTTCCTTTGTCAATCCCTGATACCTGAGGCATTCTAATAGGAAGTACCGAAGAAGCTGACTAATTTTTGTCCACTACCCCAGACCTCACCTCTGTTTAAATACCGATAGATAAAAAATTACACTTTTAAATTGAATAATATTTATTGCTTTTGATGCTTAGTAAATAATCATGTATATTCTCTTTTTTAGCCACACGATGCCTTGGGTATAAGACGTGTCTCATTCCTGTCTGGAGGAACTTTTCAACCCCCAGCTAAAACCGTGTCGAAGATGATATTTTTGACAATGCTATCTAGCAGTGATTATCAGGTGTTCATTGGTAGACAAGTGGGGTAATCTCATGCTTACACAACTTTCCTTCCAAATTAATAACATTCGAATCCAACTGTTATATATATGTATAAAGAAGTCTAGTTCTGAGTTCTTAAAGTCTGGAACAATAGATGAGAATTTCCAACAAGCAGGTGACAGCGTGACATTTAATCTACGGTTTCATACCTTTCCCAAGGATATTTGCACGTAAGGGAATATAACGAACCCAATAGGAATTGGAGCTGAGGCAATAAAATATGTTGCTCTTTAAGAACTCAGGTGAATCGTCTGACCCTTCCAACTATCGGCCTATTAGCCTTCTACCTCTTTTTAATAAACTACTAGAGGCTGTAATCAACAGTGAATTAAGACATTCTTTCAGGCAATCAGTATGACTTTCGTTTCTCTAGGTCAACTGCTGATGTATTAACGATTATTTATCTGAATAAAAGAATATGAAATAGGTAAATGAAGGTGTTCATGTCGAGATATCCTTTTTCGTAAGTACGTACATGAGAAAGTCTCATGAAAGGTTGAGAGGTTTACATTTAAGAGTTTTGTTGGTTTGGTAGAATTATTTATTTTTGTGTGTAGTCAGGTAAGCTTATGATCTATTTGCTGTGTACTATTCTATGTTGTGTTCAGTACGACACGGTGTTCGCTGGGGGTTGAAAAGACCCTCCAGACAGGAATGAGACACGTCTTATACCCAAGGCATCGTGTGGCTAAAAAAAGAGAATATACATGATTATTTACTAAGCATCAAAAGCAATAAATATTATTCAATTTAAAAGTATAATTTTTTATCTATCGGTATTTAAACAGGTGAAATATGCTACAAGGTCTGGGGTAGTGGACAAAAATTAGTCATCTTCTTCGGTACTTCCTATTAGAATGCCTCAGGTATCAGGGATTGACAAAGGAAACTATACCCTGCCTGATTTTATGCTAGACTTCTTTATACATATATATGACAGTTGGATTCGAATGTTTTAATTTGAAAGGAAAGTTGTGTAAGCATGAGATTACCCCACTTGTCTACCAATGAACATCTGATAATCACTGCTAGATAGCATTGTCAAAAATATTATCTTCGATGGTGAATATCTTTGTTTCAATGTCCGTATAACCGCTCAGAAGATGGCCAATGTTAGCCAAAAGCTTAAATCAAGGACCAACTTATTAAAAAAATATCCAAATATTGGACAATTTTTGTTTTTATTTTCATCTGAAAGCAAACATACGAATTTTAGAACGACTCATGATCAGACATAATAGACATTGTGTTATATTTAACAATATATGTTTAAATAATGATTTGCTTCCCCAATACAATATATATATATATATATATATATATATATATATATATATATATATATATGTGTGTGTGAAGCAGACAGTCTCTCTATCACTCTATCGCTTTTTCTTTTTTAGCCACAGGATGCTTTAATAATAGGAACCATCTCGTTGCCCTCTGGGGATCTTTTCAGTCCCTAGCGTACCACATGTTGCATTAAGAACGACACTAAAAGTACCCAGCATACACACCCCATGCTTACTTGATCAAACACAAACATATCTAATAATTCGACGAGATCAACAAAGAACTTTTCCCAAAATGTATGTCACAGACTTTCATTGGAACTTTGCACAAAAGTATGTAAAAAAAAAAATGACACATTTACATGAACATTTTATTTACTGCTTTCTTGTATTCTTTCTACTTAATTTGCTAAGGCAATAAAATAAATTCTTTCTTACTGTTTACGGCCACATCACATTGAAACGTTAAGCAACGTCGAGCCTGGTCAGTACCTAGATGGGGAATACCAGGTGCTGTGTACGGGTGGCGTAATGGCTCGTAATTGTTAATCGGAGAGCCGAGTTCCAATTCCTGCTGGGTTCGTTATATTCACTTACGGGCAAATACCCCTGGGAAAGGTATGAATCCATGTCTTCTCCCACCAGCTATGAGTTAATTAGCAAGACTTGCATCACTAAACCATTATTATCTTCCCACAGAAATTTTTACAATCTAAAAATATTTTTGGCTTTACATAACCTGCAGATACATGGCTGCACGTAATAATTGTAAACGTGTCATCAGCTAAGATTTGTTTGCTGAGAGAATGATGAGGCACCGTATTGCCTCTAACACTTATGGCTCTTGCGATTACTGGTAAGTCTATATTAAATAAGAGTAAATTCTCTATTTCTCCTCTTTTCAATCAATTTAGCGTGTTAACATCTTCTGCTAATAAAGCAGAATGTTTCGCCCCTACATTCTCTTTAACTTCCACTCTTGACTCATCTGGAAAATCCATGTCTGACTTTCAACTTAAAACTGAAGCATGTGGACCTGCTGATATCCCTGTAACAGTCCTTAAGAAATGTGCTCCTGAACTGGCTCCTGTTCTCTCAAAACTGTATAATAATGTCTCGATGCTTCTTGCTTTTCTGATTGTTAGCAATCTTCATATTTTGTTCCAGTCTTTAAGAAATCAGGTGAACTGTCCGAATCTTCCAAGTATTGGCCAATTAGTCTTCTACCTCTTTTTAGTAAACTGCTAGAGGCTCTAACCAACGCTGAATTATTTAAACATCTCACATCGCAGGGCCTTCAGGCAAGCAATATGGCTTTCGTTTCTCTAGGTCAACTGTTGATATATTAACGATTATTGCGGAAATAGTTTATTGGGCCGTTGCTTTGGACATCTCGAGAGCGTTCGACTGGGTCTGGCATACCGGTGTTCTTTACAAGGTTAACAGTGATGGTGTCTCTGGACGAATTTTTGAACTGATTTCAAATCGTGAAATGAAAGTTATACTCTTCTATATTTTTTGGTATCCCCTAGGGTTATATACTTAGTATTACTTTGATCTTAATTTTCATTAACCATTAACGACCTTCCTGATGGCATCAGCTCTCAACTTTGTATTTATACTGATGACACAACTATTTATTTCTGTCTCGACAGTAAGTCTGATCAGTTCGATATGGTCAACTTGGCGGCTGATCTAAAAAATGACCTACAGTCTGTTGTTAACCAGGGCAAAGAATGGCATGTTAATGTTAACGCCTCCCAAAAAACTGCTATTAATCATCTTCCTTTCTGTCTTCCAATAGAATGGCTAATGCTAACCTCCAGGAGAGTGATTCGTTGCAGCTTCTCGCCCTAACACTCTCAGCTGACATGAGTGGAAATACTATGCTGAATCCATTGCTAGATCTTCTGCTAAGAAAGCTGGTTCACTCTGTCGTGTCCAGAATCTATCTTAGATATCTATAAATCTACCATTCGACCATGCTTCGAATATTTCTGCCACATATGGTTCGCTGCTACTATATTTTTTCCGAGATTCTTGAAGAATTCCAAAGAAGTATCAGCAATATTATTAACCCTGACCTGGCGTCTTGTCTCCAGTCACTTTCCCACCGCCGTAAAGTTGCTTCCCTGTGTTTTTTCTATAAATACGCTCATGGTAATTGTTCGGATGAGCTCTTCGCCGTTGTATAGATACTTTATGAATTTAAGCGCAGCTCTAGATTGGCAACACGGTCTCATGAATTTAAAGTTGAATTGGCATGATGTAGCTGTATGTTCGATTCTAATAGTTTCTTTTCTCGCACTTCTCGCCTGTGGAACCTGCGGTTTTTTTCTTCCCTGCCGCCTACAATCTTCAAAAATTTAAATCCAACTCCAATCGCTATCTTCTGTCTTCATGAAGCCTGTTTTTTATTGTCCTTTCTCCCCACTAAAGTCTTCGCATTCTCTTTCACTCCTAGTAACCCCTAACGGCCTAGTAGCATTATCGCCTTGCTTTGGGGGGGGATGATTAAAAAATGCTTTATTGTTCTGCTGCTAACTTCTTGAGGGCAGGTACACGGCGTCTCATCTTGCCCCATTATTCAGGAACACAGCAGGGGAAGTGATACTACACTTTGATCTAGGACCAAAAGCCGAGGAACTATTTACTTAACTAACACTACAATGGAGGGTTGGACACAATGTAGTGCGTGAGAGAAAATAGTGCTCTGATTCTTGGTAAGAACCGTGGGGATATTAATACATGTACAAAACTTGTGGTAATTAAAGTACCCCTTAAGTAAATATATGTAAATATGTTATTTAACTTCGTAATATTAATTTATATTCAGTTTAATGGGGTGTTTGGAAAAAGAATAAGCATCACAGTAATCTTCACTCTTCAGTGCCTATACTAGGCATTAGTATATCTGTTATATGCGCACATCTTAGCACAGCGGAAGGAAATAACAGCATAACCAAAAGAAACAAATGCCAAATATGCATTGTGATGAAAAGATTTTATATACACATATGCTATACAAAACTTCATAGAAAATATATATATATATATATATATATATATATATATATATATATATATCCAGACGTCTTACGTTACACTTATCTGATCACAGCTCCATTAGAACCCATTTAAACACACACACAAATTTACCAGACTCCATTAGAAACATACTAGTAGAAAACACAAATATATCAACTGCATCCACCTGCAAAAAAGACTAAAAATAATGGAAGCTTTAATAATAAAAAAAGAAAAAGCCAACTCTTAACAATATTAGCTACGAACAAAGCCACAATGTGCTAACCGTATTCGGAAATTAAAAACATCCCTACC